AGACTTTCCCTGCAATTCAAAGCAGTTGTTTAACTCATACTCAGATAAATATCCCAGGCCAGAGTGATTAAAGTGCATTGTCACTATTGCATGAAGAAGCTTGTATCATCTCTAGAGCCTGATCTGGTCTGCCAAAAGATGCCACGGAATTCCCTTTGTCATGAGGCCTCAGCAAAACTCAATTATGCCCTGATCATTGTTAGAAGTATGCGACTCATCACTATCCTGACACTATAAATCAGTAGGCACTCACTGTAATTCATTTAAAACCAGAAGGACCAAGGGATCTTAGTGTAATAACCAGGCTAAATAATCAGGAGTAGTTTGCTTCTAAAGCAAGTTCCATTTCCGTCCTCCCAAGTTTAGTTGCTGTAATCCCTCTTCTGTACATAGAAATCTTTCCCACTTGAAAAAAAATAATATAGGCTGACTTCAAAATTTATAATTTTGGAAGAAATTTTTTATAGCGTTGAGTAACATATCTTTGGCCAGTTTTCCCTAGAGCTGGTATGCTGATAGAACAGGTCTGTCTGATACGTTTTCAAAATGGAAACACAATTGTTTACAAGACATTGCATCCATTTTTGTTATGCGCAGAGCATTTTGAAAACCCAGTCCCTTAGCAGGGAAATGACCAGCAGGAAATAATGTCATCAAGAAACTATAAAGTACTAAATGAAAAGCTAAGTATTGGACTGTGCAAGATGTTCACAGTATTACCATTTAAAAACTTCACAGCTGCAACAAAAAAAACAGCAAAGCTCTTCATTTGCAAAGTCACCTGCTTTTATATTCCAACAGTATCTTTTTTGTTTACTGGGCTTATTTTGGTCAGGAAGATATTATCTAGAAGGAAGCAACCCAATTGTTCAGGTTGTATTTTAAAATCTTATATTCCGCTGTATCATTTTATATTATCTTAAATAAAAGTGTGGGGAAAATCCTGAACTGATTTCTCTGTCACAGAGAAATAAACATAATAAAAGCAAATAAGTTTTTTAAAAGCACGTTTTCCTTCCTTGCTGTGGTTGCAAACCACAGAGACAGTCATCTCCGTGTTTAAGAAAGGAGGGGAGGGGGGGGTCTCTGGTTCCTCATGTTTCACCGTTTCGTTGCTCTGCCTGATCATTTAAAGCAGAGCTTGTTCCAGACAGTTTTAATTAAACTATGCTGTGAAACTGTATATAGATCAATGGAAATGATCCATAACAAGAGGCTAATCATGTGTTTAACAGTGTCCAGTCCAGTTCAATCACCTTCTACCATTTCTGTGGCTTTACATTCATGTGACAAAGCCTTCAATGTGTGTACGTATTTTTTAATCCATCTCATTAGTGACCATATGCTTTGGCTTCAAGGCAGACAAGAACTGTCTGCAATCTGCCAGGGATTTAGGGACATCAATAATTTGTGAATAGTCATGTTGGTACTGGTCGAAGGGTTAAGTGTTCTGCACACGAGGGGCACATCTTTTGGGACTTGAACTCTTAGTAAACTGTTAGGAACCTGATCCCCTGTGACGCATCTTTTCAAAGTACATGCTGCATGTCAGATCTCTGCAGCTGAACCAATGGAGCTTTATTAGCTCAGGGATTTAAAAGCCTGCTCTAAGCAATGTAACAATATCTTTTGGTTAAAAAGTGAAGGAAAGATAGTAGTTGTAATATGAAAGTGATTTTTTATGTACTGGGCTAAATGTGATCTTCCTTTTTGTTACCATTTTCCTTTTCAATATGAGCTATTAGATTACTCCTCCGCTGCAAATATCCAGTGAAGAGTAGGGCAGCAATAATGGGAACCTGATTTGGGAAACATAAGTGGATTCTGTGGCCTCGCCTTATACTGCCTGAATCCTGCTG